TATATAACACAATTTTAAACCGTTTTTAATTATTTTATATCAAATTTTTTAATAAGTAATTTGTATGTTAAATAAATATTTTTCTTAATCAAGGAATTTAAAAATGCTCATTTATTATTAATTCAATTAAAATTTCTCATGCACACAAAAAATATATTTCCAATAAGAATTTATAACGACTGTTACACAATAAGTTAAAATGTACAATTTACTGTTTTACAATAAGTTTGCAGCTTTTAGGGTGGTATTTATCATAAAAACATTTAAAACATAATAGTTCGTTGCACCATGCACATATAATCATAGACATTTCATGCGCACAGTCTGTACAATTTGTTTTATTAACAGAATCTGGAAAACAAACTTCGTTAACGTTTTTAAAAAAAGTTCTTTCATTTGTTATTTGAGATGCAAACCATGCATATTTTAACATATCACAAAAGATTGGTGCGCTTAACTGATTGTGAACTAAAGATTGTATTTTAATAGCATCCTCACGATTGGCTATTTCTCTATTGCTTTTAAGGAGATATGTACAATTTTGTAATTTTTTGATATGCATGAGAAATTTTTGATTGCATGAGAAATTTTAATTTAATTAATAATAAATGAGCATTTTTAAATTCCTTGATTAAGAAAAATATTTATTTAACATACAAATTACTTATTAAAAAATTTGATATAAAATAATTAAAAACGGTTTAAAATTGTGTTATATACAAATTTAAAAATATATAAGATTTAAATAAAAAGAAAAAAAAATTTATTCAGGGAATCGAACCTGCAACCCCGAGCGTAGTAGTCTACATCTTACCGTGGACGCTACGCTGCTAGCTCGAAGATTGCTTTTCCGTAACGGTACTATAGAGACAAAAATTTTTCTCGAAATATTTAAAAAAATATTTCTCGAGAATGCCTCAATAGTGGGTCCTACGGCTTTACAGGAGTAAATGTATAAATGCATACTACACACCCATAAAATTTTATTCAAATCGGTGATGAGAGACTGCCGGGTTCCCCTTGTGAGTGGTAACGCGTTCATCGTCGCCTCGCCGCGCGCCGGCAGCGTCAAAGCGTCAAGATGCCATCGCGGCAGTCAACGCGAGCCGCGTTACCGCTCAGCCTCGACGTACACAGTTCGTCGCGAAGTGTCTATAGGCCGCGATGGGCGTAACAAACGCCAAAATTTACGCGGTTGTTACTAACAAACAAGACGCGTTATCGCTAAATGGAAGAGGACTTTTCTGATCCTTTCGCTTAGCTCTACACCCCTATGGAGTTGGTGTGTTACAATTACCAGACACCCTATATGTCTATTGATGTATTAGTTCTGACTTTCGCGTCGAAAATTTTGTTCAATGGGATAAAAATAGTTAAAATTGCTGCATTTTTAGCCTCATGTTCATTTAATGATGGCATGGTAACTACATGCTATCATGTAGTTACCATATCATTATTATCATATTTTACATGTCTTTCAATTGTTGGACATTATCTTATAATTGAGACAAATTGAGACATTTATATAATTACCTTTACAAAAATATTCCACTGTTTTTATCTTCATATGGCCCACTTTTGGCCCGTTTTTAGCCCATTTTCTACTCGTTTCTTAATTCTTATGATCGTTTCTTGCACTCTGAAGCACGTGCAATGTATCCAGCGAAAAATCATGACGAATATACGCGAGTATGCATGAATTTTTTGAGCAGATTGCTCCTATTTAACACTCTTTCTTCAGCTGGTGAGTGAAAGTACATTAATACGTTCCTTTTTTACTCACTTTCGTTTCAATGTAAATCTGTATTAAAACGAAACTGACTAAAAGAGGAACATATTAAAATGATGTCACTCGCTAGCTGAAAAAAAGAGTGTTAAAAACGAGCAATTTGCTAAAAAATACTCATGCATACTCGCATATACGTCGTATTTTCCATTAAAATTAAAAATAGGACCGAATGCTACTAACACGACTACCAGGTATGTAAATATGAAACCGGAATTTTTGTATAGAAAATACACGTTTATTGTATGAAAATGATAAAAAATATTTTATTTGAAGTATTGCCCATCGCTAGCTATACATTTTTCCCACCTGTCTGACAATTTGTGGATGCCACGTCAAAGAAACTGTTGCTCTTTTGAGGCAAACCTGTCATCGAGCCATTTTCGTACATTTCCGTAAGAAGTGAAGCGCTGCTTAGCAAGTGCGTGTCCCATCGATGCAAATAAATAGTAATCGGACAGAGCCAAGTCTGGTGAGTAAGCCGCATGCGAAAGTATTTCCTAACTAAACGCCTCAATCGTTTCTTTGACCAGTTTTGCTGTGTGCGATGGTGCATTATCATGAAGCAAAATCACTTTGTGTTGCCTTTTTTTATATTCTGGTCGTTTTTCACGCAAAGCTTGATTCAAATCGATCATTTGTTGTCGGTAGCGTTCAGTATTAACGGTTTGGCCAGGTTTTAGCAGCTCATAATAGATCACACCCTTCTGATCCCACCAAACACAGAGCATTGTCTTCCGTCCATAGCGATTTGGCCTTGCAGTCGATGTCGATGGTTCGCCTGGAGTTACCCATGATCTTTTACGCTTAGGATTCTCAAAATATATCCACTTTTCATCGCCAGTCACAATTCGATGGAGAAATGACTTTCTTTTGTACCTGGCGAGCAGCATTTCGCAAGTGGTTTTTCGGTTTTCCTGCTGTCTTTCATTCAGTTCATGTGGAACCCATTTTCCCATCTTCTGGATCTTTCCCATGGCTTTCAAACGTATGGAGACGGCTTCTCGTGTCACATTTAATTGATCCGCGAGTTGTTGTTGCGTTTGAGTGTCATCCTCATCCAACAATGCTTGCAATTCGCTGTCTTCAAACTTTTTCGGTGGTCTTCCACGTTCTTCGTTTCTCACGTCAAAATCGCCACTTTTGAATTTTTAAACCACTCAAAGCACTGTGATTTACCAAGAGCATGCTGACCGTAAGCTTCGACAAGCATTCGATGCGATTCTGCAGTAGTTTTCTTCAAATGGTAACAGAAAATCAATGCTGTCCGTAGTTTCCAGGCACAAAATTCGACATGTTCAACGCTATTACAAACTATGCTGTTGTATGAAACTTGTATTGTTGTGAGTTGAAAATCTTTGTCAGAGATGTCAACAAGGAAATGGCGCCAATGACGCGGTTTGACGGTAACTACATTGACAGCTAGGGCCATCTATGGGCAAATTCCGGTTTCATATTTACAGACCTGGTACTAATTAAAAATTATTAAATTATACCGTCTTGTTTCTTTTTTTATTCCTATAAGGAAAAGGCGGGCAAGATGGAACACTTTTTGAAACGTTTTTGCCGTAAAAACATGGTTAAAATAAAATTATTTTTAAAAAATTATGACATATGACATACAGTTTGGACTATTTTCTTAAAAGTTAACATAAGAAAAAATATATTTCTTAAATTTTCTTATGGAAAAATAACAAAAAGAAAAGTGGTGTCAGTTTTTGACTTGTTCAAAAGATGCGGGAAAGATGGAATACTAAATAAAAGTCTTATAATCGATTGTAATATAAAAAAGATCATATATTTATGGATATCTAAAAAGCAATAAATAGTACCAATAAAAGTTAATAGATGCTCAATATAATTTTTTCCAGCTAATTTGAATGCTAATATTTGCAAAGATTTTTTAGTCATACTATATAATTTTGTATTCATCTTCTTAACATAAAGGAAAGTAGCCAAAAGCGACATAGATCTCCTAAAGCGACATACCTCTTATATATCTCATATATTAAATGTTGTATTTTATCCAAACTAATATAAACGTAATCCATTTCATCAGTTAAGTCATAAAAAATTCATACTTTGTATATTTCTTGTTTCTTTATATGCTAAATTAGCAAATATCAAGTTTTAGAAATTCGCAATTTTTACTTCTATGATTTTTATTGATGAAGTACGTAGACTAAATAGCGATAATTATCATTTTATTCAATATTAAGTTCTTCTACATGCATTTGGCTTTTGTAAAAATATTTTTACTTTCATCACTTTTTTACTGTATAACTTGAAAAAATTTATGAGAATATGTCTTAAAGTGACATACCTACAGTGCGATAGGTACAATACTCTGTGACTAACATAACTTAATAACCTCCCATTATGACGTGACATTTGTTTATTTTAAAGTTTAATTTTATTTAGTTTAAAAATATAACATATGTAAAATATGTGAAAACATGAAAAAAATGGAAGAAGATATATATTTATTTAATTATATTTCCCTTTTGTAACATTATATTTTAAATAAATGAATATTATTCAACTATTAAACGCATTAATGAATTATTTATTATTAAATATTATTATATATGCGATATGTTATATAAATTCCAATAGATATGTCGGTTTTGGCACCTGTTTTCTTTGAACTCCATTTTCGTGCGTTTTACGAAAACATTTTTTATTTTAAATCTAGAAACAATTTCAGTAAAAATGTGATATTATCTGATAGAAGATACTTCCAACTACATATATAGATATTTACATTTATATTTTGAGCTTTATATTAAGACATAAACCAAAGTGTCCAAAAACAAAGTGTCGTCTTTGGTGCTTTATTATTTATTCTTGCACAGTAGTCTTTTCTATTCCTTAACATATTACTTATTCTTGCACAATAGTCTTTTCTATTTCTTTGGAAAATACGTTCTGGAAACAACTTAATTTCTTCGCATATCTGCCTTTTTGTGTTGTCTATACAATATGCCGAAAAGTATAATATAACCTAAGAATATTTTTGCTTATCACTTGAACAGTCTTGTAGGCAAACCATGTATTTAGGTAGCAAGTTGACATTTAAAAACGTCTTACTGATGTTGGAGATATTATTAAAAAGTTATTAAAAAGTTGACTTACTCTGAGTATAAACAAATTTCAAATATGAATCATGAATGTAATTATGTATGATTATAATTTAATACAATTATATATTCACACTTTTTTATTTTATTTGTTAATAAAATTTGAATAAATTGTTAATAAACTTTGAATAAATTTCATCTTAAGGGTAAACAAGTCACTTAGTGTTCTATCTTGCCCTTTTTCTTCGTGTCCTCCCAGATAGCACAAAGAATTAAAGAAAGAAGAAAAAAATTAAAGAAATTCTGTTGTATATTATAAATATATATTGTATATTATAAATATATCACCAATTCTGAGCTCATTTTCAGATGCAAAAAGAGTTCTTCAAAATTGTTTAACTGACGAGTAATAAGTTTTTAGGTTAGAATATCATTTTATGTATATTTACCCACAAAGCTCGAAGGCACAATTTTATTAATAGATGTTACTTGATGTGATAAGCAAACAATTATATATTCACGACTATTATACACTCGTCAACAAAATCATGGAATAGATAAGTTTATTTCGAAATTTCGCACAATTTTAAATGAGTATAATACCGCGAAACATTATCGTATTTAGAATCTCTTTTCTGTATTGTAAAGAGTGAAGTCTGTACTTTAAAAAGCATTCGTCCGATTTTGAATTTATTCTCTTCCCTTCCCGCAGTCCTTTCAAAAGTAAATATGTGTCACGTCTCTAAAAAAATTGCAGAATTTGACATATTCTACGGGGTGGACTAAATTTTTTTCGTAAAATTCATGATAATCATCGTCAAGTATAGATCTTCCCTTGCAATTTAAAAAAAGGCGGATTTGTACGATTTTTTTTCGCGGAGTTGCGATATGTCAAAGTTACCTATGCATTTTAATTTTAAATGAGCATGATACTGCGAAATATTATCGTATTTAAAATCTTTTTTATTTTATTTTACGATGGTTATCGTAAGATTTGTGAAAATAATTAATTCCGCTCAATAGAGTACGTCAAATTAAACGATTTAAAAAAATGCATGGGGGGTAAATTCGATATATCGCAACTTCGACATCCTATAAATCCTATAAATCCGCCTCTTTTTTTAATTGCAAGTAAAAATCTATACTTTATGATGGTTAATATAAAATTCACAAAAAAAATTTAGTCTATTCCGTAAGATATGTCAAATTACGCAATTTTTTAGAGACACAACATGTCTTTACTTTTGACTGGCTTTATTTAGTATATTATATTTCTAACATTTAAAAAAATATAATAAACTTTTTATATATTTATATCATATATAATAATTAAACCTTATATAACCTACCCACTACAATGATGTTGCCAGCTCTCTAAGAATTAATAATTATAATTTTTATTCGCGTGCTATTTAAAAATATGCAATATAAGTGTTTGTGAATATTAAAAACGTATTTCCTACAGAACACACCTTTCAAAATGCTTTCTGAAAGATAACTTGGAAATTATATTAAAATATAACATTGAAATAATTCAGAAATATTTGTGAAATGTTTCATCAAACTCTTTTTCACTTAAATATTTCAGAAATCGTTTATAATAAGCTTTGATTTATATATTTATACATAAGTTTAATTAATTTAATTAAATTTTATATGGTTAGGTGGATTTTTTTTCTTTTTGTAATTGTACTGTTTTATAATTACTCAAAGTTTATAGTATTTTATGACTATATATACTTAATAACAGTTAATAAAAAAATGTTTACTATAAAAATTTAAAGATAACAAAATGGAATGTGCGGAATTTTGTAGACCTCACCTTATTAGCTAATTAATGTTAAATTTACACATACAATAAAATTACAAAAAATATAATTTTTATTAAAATAAAATGATTTTATTAAATCATATTATCAGAAAATATATTATATTACTGTGTTAATTACAACACATATAGACAAAATGTAAGACGTTTATATCGATCGAAGATTGTGATGTAGTGTCTAAAGCAACAGACTCATAATCCAAAGATGCCTCTAGGGTCCAAGTTCGAGTCCCACCAGTGCCAGTGAGAATTTTTAAATGTGATGTAATATTAAAATCAAGTAATGTAAAATTTCCAGCAAACACTGTGACATTTATGAATAGTTTCTAAATATAAAAATACGAATAGTTTCTGTACACAAAAAAAATATCTGAAATATTTCCCATATATTTTTGAAACATTTCAGATACATTTCAGATAATACATCATAGCGGACATTTTATGAATTGACATTTTATATCTGACATTTTATATCTGAAAGATATCTAAAACATGTCCGAAATATTTCTTTGAAATGTTTCATATTTCATAATGAAAGCTTTTTGAAAACTTCTTGAAATATGTTGGTGCTGTGTGGGTTTGTACTCGTAGCTAAATGCACGTTTGCATATCTCAAATTTCCATTGCGCTGCATTCATTTACCATCCAAAAATACACTTAATGGTACGTTTTTACTATTCCTTAGCAAACCGTAATCACCACTCGTTTTTAGTAAAAGTGCTCCTTTCCGACCTATAAATGGGCTCGTACTCGCTGTGTTGAATGCACGCTTTTACTACTCAAATTAAACATTTTCGAGGGCTAAAACCGGTGAAATATTTTTGTAAGGGTATAGAATGCAAAAGGATATGCAAACACATCCACATCGCCAAAGACCGCACACTCAATTTGACATTCGAGGAACATTCTTTCCACTACATTGCTAGATCATCTATAGAATCATTTCCATCTACTTCTGCAGATGTCCATTATGGACCAAAGGTCGATGATTATTAAAAAAAACAAAAATTTATTGATGCTACATCGATGTAAATTCTTATGAAAACTTTAAAGTCGTTTTTCTCGAAACAACTTTTTTCCAGATGGTGGGTGTTCTAACTCATTTTGTAATGCACGGATTGCTATATAATTTTACAGAAATATTTTTTATTACACTCTCTGTTATCAGATTTTTTTTTATTTTTTTTGGTCTCCTTTTGGCATTGAAAAGAAGGCGCGTTTTTTTTCGTCAAAATCTAATTTTTTTTTAACTATTTATAATTTCCATAATTTTACAAAAATAAAACAGTGACCCGATAATAAATAGCGACAGTTTAAACTTTAAGAAATTGTTTCATTTTTTGTTTTTAAATTACATATGCGAGCTGAATTACACTCACCAATTATTCCCATTTTTTATCAAGAGATATATTTTTTTATTTCTTATTATAACTAATGTTTTTTTAATATTTCAATGTATGTATAATACATATAAAAAAATAAAATCATAATTATTATTAAAGAACATTAAACAGAAATTCATGAAAATGGTTTATTTTCAAGTGCGTCAAGCTGATATAATCCTTTAAAATAAATCAATTTAAAATTAATAATAAAGTAATCAAAGTAAAAATGAAGAAAATTTATAATTTGAATTACTTCACATAAAATGTTATTCGCGAATAATTACATAACAGTCAAGAAAAAAACTAGATTATGTTGGAAGTTCTTCTATCTTGCGAAGGACAAGACAGGATGTGCTCAATAAAGGCAAAAATGGTTCGGGTTAAAGAATCGTTAGGACGTAATAGGATCGCTCACCTTTCGTTAACAGCTTCGTTTCCGATTCCACATCCGTGTCGAAGACGATTACGCCGTCTAAAGTAGCAAAGAATAGTTTGAAGATCGCGCCTGCTCGCGAAAACAAATTCTTCAGTTCCTGCATTGTCCCGCTTAATAACGTTCCATATGTCTTCGGGCTGCGATTTTACAACAATACTTTTTGTTTTCTATACTATTCGACTTACTAATTATCTCCTCCATATAACATACACGCAATAATGTTAAAAATAAACAAAATCGCATATCGTATTCATAAATATAAATTTCTCTATATGGTCATTTTCAGAGTGTTCCATTTTAAATTAAATAAACTAAGAACTTCGAAACTAAAGCTTATTAAGAAAACATTTTCAGACAAATATATTAGGATTTTAAAAGGAATAATGGTACTATTAGCTTGATCTTATGGCACTAAAGTTTTTACAGGGTCAGTTTAAATTTCTAAACCGGAATGATATGGTTTTTTTTAGCACAGATCAATTCCTAGAATCATTTTGTGTATAAAAGTACTGGGATAAAATTATTGAAGAGTAAATATTTTTAGAGATATTCTAAATTTTATATTTTTTTTGTACTTTTCCCATTTATAAGATATAAAATATATATTAAAATATAAATTATTCACACATTTTTTCTCACTTTAACATTTTTGCACATTGGCCGACAGAAATATTTTTTCAATTTTTCGGATGCATTTCGGAAAGTATCAGTCTTGGCTAGTGGGAAAATTCGTTCTTCAATGGAAGAACTCTCTTATTAGACAAGACAGATACGTTCCAACGCATACAAAGACGCATACAAAAAAGTGGAGAAACCTTTCTATCAGTGAGCGTACGTAAAATAATGACGAAATACGTCAATAAATCTTCAAAATGCAATGAAATTTTGTTCAAAGTTTCTGATTTTTCCCTATGGAACTCTTGATTGATAATGTCAGAAATGAGAAAATGCATGCCTAAAATTCTTGTGTGCTATTTTTAAATAAAAAAATATTTATATGAACACTTCAGATTGCCTGAGCATATTTGTAAAATATACCGAAAACTATTTTTTCTCTAAACAATCAATAAATAGCTGTCAAATTAACGTTATATGTAGCTTTCCTCTTCTTATGATTTTATTACATTAATTTTACGACTATTTATTAGCTGTCAAAGGAAAAGAATAGTTTTCAAAGTATTTCATAAATATGCTCAAGTGATCTAAAGCATTCTTTTATTCAAATATCTTTTTATTTGAAACTAGCATGCAACAATTTTCAATGTGTTATTTCTCGTCTCTAATGTCACGATCCAATATAACTGCGGCAAGTATCCAGAAGACTTAAGATCCCAGATAGCCAAGCCTGCAAAAGTCAGATTTTGCTAAGTTTGTGCTGCATGCTATGCTGACATAATTTAGGCAGTAACAAAGTATAATCTGCTATGTCAGATAGTGCGTGTACAAATGTAACAGAAATCTAACAGAATCTACGTCATGATATGATGGCACAAATAAAAATAGTGCAAAAATAAGGTACGATATGTGAACATAGCAAGAGAAAAATTTAAATATTGAGTGCAAACATGATTTTTCGACATGAAGCAACATAAAATCGAACAAAGAATGATGTCATATCATGCGAACAGAAAGGCATTAGAAATCAAACTAATTAAATAACATTATGAGACAGAAGAAACGCGGCAGAAATCGATCACGACGTGCTACTCGAACGTAACGGCAGAAACAGCAGAAATTTATCACGTGTCGTTCAAACGTAACAGCAGAAAGACGACAGAAATGTAGCACGAAAAGTTGTTTTCTTAACGGGGTGCTTCATTTACAATCCAATATATTTAATTGTTAATTATTTTAATTGGAGGTACACTACAAAGAGATCTACAATAAATTTGTTGAATAATGTACCACCATACACGAGGTAACAGTAACAAAGTAGTTATAATTTGCCACTCGACAATGTAAACAGTTACATTATTAAATGCTAAATGTACAATAACTAAATGCTATCTAAGTACGTGCTTGCGACAACACATGGAAATATAACGTTATTAAAGTTTATTTTGATGTTTCTCTTCTCTCCTTCTCTCTCTCTCTCTCTCTCTCTCTCTCTCTCTCTCT